GTGCTATATTTATGGGATAAATGCTCAATATCAGAGATAGAGCGTATGTAAATATAAATATAAAATTGAACATTGAAGTCAAAACTCAGAGGCGACAGGCTGTTTCATGCTAGACGCAATCGTCAGGTCTGAGGATTGCGTCTAGCATTAAAACAGCCTGTCGCCTCTGTTGACTTCAATGTTCACTTTATATATATATATATATATATATATATATATATATATATATATATATATATGTGTGTGTGTGTTTGTATGTGTGTATATATATATATATATATATATATATATATATATAATTGTGTATCTTGGTAGCAACCTTTCATTAATATATCTCAGGAGGCTATGTTACATTCATTAATTACAGAAAAGACAATTTTTGCATATATAACTCTCAAACACACATACACATACATGTATATATATTGAGAGAGAGAGAGAGAGAGAGAGAGAGAGAGAGAGAGAGAGAGAGAGAGATCTGTGTGTGTTTAAAATTTCGGATATATTTGAAAAATATAATATTCACCACGGATTTTTTAAAATATCTCCATTCCTAAAAGAACTCCTCCACTCCCAAACCAACATAAATTACTATAAAAAAATTTTAAAATTAAAAGATAACGACTAAATTCATAAGCTCCTGTTATTTGAAATATATAATACATAAACTTAAATATCCCAAACTGAAATAATTTACACTTTTATTACATTACAAAAAAATAAACATTTACGCACTTTCGTTTATTCGACATAAAATGATGTCCCTTAGATATCCTCCATAATTAAACTAGACTTTTCAGTTAACATAATAAATATTTATGAACTTTTCTTCAATTTAAAAGTTTAGAAATACTAAGAGTTTTAGTTTTGTTTATAAATACCTGCTCCAAAGGAAAACTCTTATATTTGCCTTCATCCATCAAGTAACAAAATGCGACTTGTAAGAAAAGTTTTCTTTTTTCTTTATATATATATATATATATATATACAGCAACAGGAATCTGCACCATGCCACACAAGAAAGACAACCCTGTCATAACTGTCAGAAAATATCTGCGCCCATCTCACCCTTTACATCTGGCTACCTAACTACCCACACTGCAACCCCCCTTGATTATTATGTGTGGGATGCAATTGAGCTAGAGACCAACAAAACTGCTTGTTACACCAAAGATGAACTTAAACAAGGAGACCGTCCAGAAGAGTTGCAGGAGATTCTGAAATCGTCTGGCGACCATCGTTGAAATCAATGGCGATTTTATTGAATAAATTTTCTTGTTAGTATTTCAAGATATGTTTGTGTAATTGTGCACATGCAGTCAGTAATATGATAATCAATTAATGTGTTTTATCTTTTCAGAGAATTAATATTGAACTCTCGGTTGCAAGAACAGCGATGTTGAATGTCTACGTGTGTTTGGATGTCGCCAGGTTGTTTGTTCCCTGGATTCGGAGAGAGTTGGAAGCTTCCAGCGGGGATGTGTCGCCTGTGGAGAAGTGCAACAAGCATTCACGAACTTCGGACAGGATAATCGGGGGATAATAGTTTCTACAGAAGATGCAGAACATTATCGCTGCGAATCCCTGAACGTCGATGAGATCTCCTGATGTTCGAGGACATTTGGTACAAGTCATATGTGATGAGAAAAGAGTAGTTCATGACAGCACACACGAGAATGGCGGTTGTTCCGTGTCAAACGATTGCTGAACATGTTTAGACATTGAGAAGAACCTGATTGAATAATCGGCCGTTCAACAAGGCTCCATATGCAATAATCAAGAGGATTTAGATCTGGTTGGTTAGGTAGACACATTTTTGGTGTGATGTAGTCGTACAGATTGCACACTAACCAATTTTAGGTCACTACATCTTTGTGAGCAGGCACAGAGTCATGCAGAAACATATATAGCATTATATGGTATAGAATGTCTATCCTGAGTTTCATAACTGTTTCTAATACCTTAGTGTTGACAGTAGCATTCAACCAACGACATTATTAAAAAAACTGGGATGGCATGACTAACCCTCACTATGCAACACGCCTAAAAAAACGTAATGGTAGTGGGAAGTTTGGTGTTACGTAAAACTTGGGTGATATCAGAAAGATAAGCACATTTCTCTCGTTCACTTATTAATCCAGGTCGAGTTTTAAAGTTTAAAAATTAAAAAAAAAAATTCTGGCTTTAAATAACCGGCAAATGTTGATAAGCCATAAAAAATGAATGAATCAATCAAACCTATTCTCTGAAGCTCTTCGTTGTTTCCTGTTCTGCTATGCATTTTACACAAGTTCTTTGTGTAGGTCACTCTCTTCCCCCTCCTCTGCTTTCAATATGTCATGTGTCAACTTCTTCAGGCTCACTTTCCTTATTATAAATCCTAAAAAATTCAGTTGTCTTTTTCTGATTCTATGTATCCATTTTATATCCATTTTCCTTAAAGCATCCGGGTGTTCAGTTCATAGATTTCTCAGCATCCTTCTGTAGAACCACATTTCTGTTGTCTATAGTCTCTTTATTATCTGTGAAGAGATTATCCAAGATGCACAGTTCAGTCCTCTTTTCTTTGTTTCTAACAGGATCTTCCTGTTTCTTAATACTTTGCTTTGCTTTTGAAAGGCATCTTTCGCTATCCCGATGCACCTTTGTATTTTGACGTCACATTTTCCGTCTTTTGTTATTATGTTTACTTAAATAAAAAAAAAATAGATGTCTTGAAATACATCACAATTCTCATTATTAACTGAAGGACCAAATTGTTTTAGAATGCGAAGCACTAATGAGACGAAAGCATCGTTTGTAGGGAGATGAAAGTTGTCTTTTCCTATGTACGTTCGTATATGTGTCCATTTAAATTGTCGCGCACTACATGTATGAATTCAATATTCTTTAGAGATATTTGGGTCATTGTTCTTTCTTTCTTTTTTTCTTTCTTTCTTTCTTTCTTTCTTTCTTTCTTTGTCTCTATCTCTCTATTTCTCTTCCCGTTTGAGCTGCTCTAAGTATATATTGGTTCTTTTGACTGCATTACACTCAGGATTAATAATTTTGTTTTGGAACCTTTCAGATCACGGGCAAGAAAAGACAGTTCTAAATCTTTATTTTGTAAGAAAATTATTTTACAGTTAGATCCCATAATAGCTTTATAGATTAAAATAGTGTTTTTTTTTTGGTAAATGTTTTCTTTAATTATTTTCTTGGAATCTGTCCGTTGTTTCATTTTTAGATATTATTTTAAAGCTCCTTTTTCGTTGTCGTCATCAGAATCGTAAAAAATATCTTTTTTTTTCTAAATCTTTTCCATCTTTTGTCAGAAGAAATTACCCATTCCTTCTTAATGTTTTTTCAAAACCTTCATCTACACGGTTCCATTCTTTTTCTAAAATCAAAAGACTTCTTCTCCTTTTTCTGTTCCTTCCTCTCTTTTTTCTTTTTCAGCTTCTCCTCCTTCTCCTAATTCTTCACCTTCTTCTTCTTGCACCACTTCTTATTCTCTTTCGACTTTTTCTTCTTTTTCTTCCTCTCTGCCTCCTCCTTCTCCTATTCTTCTTCTTCATCTTCTTCTTCTTCTTCTTCTTCGTCTTCTCATCTTCATCATCATCTTCTTCTTCTTCTTCTTTTATTTCTTCTTCTTCTTCTTCTTTTATTTCTTCTTCTTACCCTCATTCTTATCCTACTGCTATGTCTCCTTCTTCTTCTCCGTCTTCTTCTCCTCTTCTTCATCGTCTTCCTCTCCTCCTCTTCCTTCTCATCTTCATCTTCTTCTTCGTCTTCTTCTCACCCTCCTTCTTATCCTCCTTCGTCTCATTTTTCTTCTTCCGCTTCTTCTGCTTCCTGTTCTTCTTTCACTCCTCCCCCTTCCTCTGCTTTCTTCTTCCTTCTACTCCTTCTTCTTTGTCTCGCCTAGCCATTCTTTTTCTTTACCTTTTTTTCACATTTTTCTCTTCATGTCCTCAAATTTTGTTTCCTTCTTTTTATTCTCACTCGTTTTTCTCAACGCTTCTCTTCTAAAACTTTATTTCTTGTTTTGTTTCCTTCTCTATTTTATTCACCATTCTTTTAAAAGATATTTTTTTATGCATAAGCCTTCTATTTCCTCCTTGCTTATCTCATTAGATCTTCGAGTGTTCTCTTTTGAATGACTATTTCTCATTCTTCACTTGAAACTGTCTTTTCTTCTATCTCGAATTTTATTTTCCCTTCACCTCCGCCACACCATATCTTCTTCCATTTTTCCTGCCTCCAAACCCCAATCCGTAACCTTCCGTCCGACCCACAGACACTAACCCTTGTTGAGATCAGAATGGACAACGGGCACACTGACTGCTTACAAATAGACGCCCAAATAGTTTTACATTTGACCGGCGGTTACCTCTCGACGGGGCCACCATGTTTCTTTGTTTATCTGGTCGAGCTCTTGCGATGAATGTCCGTCTTGAGAATTCCGGCTGGAGTACGGAGGGGTCAGTTCTGGCATGGCTGGTAGGGGTCTAGTGAAGAGTAATTCCGCCTTTTCCTGGTCAGGTTCGGTTTGTCGACTGACCATTGTTGTCCAGTGGCAGATCGGCAGTGTCAGCTGAAGATCGGGCGTAATGGACCGAAAGACACTGCTGTGCCGTAGCGGACCGTTTTCCCATTCGCTGCCGTTGCACGTACACGTAGAAAGACAGATACGCTCACGTACACACGCACAAATATATATATATATATATATATATATATATATATATATATATATATATATATATGTGTGTGTGTGTGTGTGTGTGTGTGTGTGTGTACATGAGAGAGGGAAATGTGTAGCCCCAGAATATATGCAAACGTTGTTTCTTAATAGCTGCTGTTGTTCTGACCTGAAAGTTAAACACTTTCGCCGTAAAATATAAATGTTATAATAAATATGAACTAACGTAGCCTATAAATGTTTTTTTTCTAATGTTCATCCAATGAAAGGTTCAAGAGCCACTCAATCTAGAAGCTCACTTTATGATGCGTAAGTCTTACGACCATATCACTTTGAAACACCGGTTCCCGTATGATCATCGAAGTTAAGCAACGAAGAGCCTGGTCACTACCTAGATGGGCGACTGCTTGGGAATACCAAGTGATGTAAGCATGGATATGTAGGTGGCGTCATGGATAATGGGCTGGAGTTGTTTATCGGATAGCCGAGTTCCAATGTCGGGATTGTTATATTCACTTGCGCACACTTACCCTTGGGAAATATATGAATACACCCTTCTCCCCATCTATGGGTTAATTAGTAAAACATATCATCAAATCATTATTATCTGAAAAAGTAAATTCTTACCATCTAAAAAATATTTTCTGGCTTTAAATAACCTGCAAAAGGTTGATAAGCCGTAAAAAACGAATCAATCAATCAATGAAATATTGATTAGTTATAAAGGCATGTGTTTTAGAATTATTTACATTCTCTGGAATATAAATGTATAAAAAATACCATGGCGACAAATCGAAGGATCATTTTATATGTTGTTTGTAATACAGAGTTGATCCTCCACTTTATATACAGATTACAATTTTTTGTTTGTTTACCAAATCCTTATTTGGTATGAATCCATTTCTTCCCTCCACCTGCTTTGGGTTAATTAATAAGACTTGTATAGCTAAATTATTAATATCTCAAAAAAAAAAAAAAAGAAAAAAAGAAAGAAAGAAAGAAGAATTCTTACACTCTAAAAATATTTTCTGGATTTAAATAACCTGCAAAAGGTTGATAAGCCGTAAAAAAACGAATCAATCAATAAATGAGGTGTGTTATAAAAGCAGAAAATTCACCATAGTTAGAAATTAGCAAAAGTAGTATAAATAACCACTAACCAATTGCAAAATCTTTTCGGCAAAACAGTCGAACTCTCTGCCTTCGGACAGAGAGAAACCCGGACGAGGTTCCGCCGAAGGGCAGAGTCTCGTTCGGGGAGGTTGACTGACCCTGAACCTGTTTATACGGGTTCGAAAGGCAATATTTTTGGCCGAGCCTACGGGCTCGGAGAACCCACGTTAAACCCGGCCTTGTGCCACATCTAACCCTCGTGTGTGTGTAGGGGGTGTGTGACTAAATATACTAATCAATTGCAAAAAGGATTCCTGTTTGCTAATCTATGTACAGCTTTCCTCTAGCCTCCAAACAGCTGAAAAAGCCAGAGAAATATACTTACCGAAAACTACAACCCCTTTTTAGCTTATCATACGCATGAACGAATTTAGCTGTCCAGAGAAAAATGTGCCCAAATCGTGGTCAATGGAGAATAATCCTAAGCATGCAGACATTCTTCTTTTCTTGGACAATGTCTGGTCTTTCGAATCCCTGCGAAACAAAAACTCTACGACTCATAGTCTTTTTAAGGTCAACACATGGACTAAAAAGACGTCCAGGCTGGACTCGACAAGTATTATCCTTAGCATATGTACCTTCACTGTTTCGGTGAGGACTCAGCAAGAAGATGCTAGATATTTCCCGTAGGGAAAAATGTCTTTCAGTAACGGGTGTGGGGGGACGCATAGGGGGGATTCGGCAGGTTTTAACTGAGGTAAGAAAAAAGGTGGCAGAGATTTGGAACGGGAGAAGAGAGCAAGGTCGATCAAGCGAGGACGGAGAAAAGCTCGAAATGTCTCGCGCTTCCGAAAGAATATAAAAGGTCCGCCTTCTGTGTTTTCTTCTTTTATCCTTTTCAATGGCGGTGTTTGGAAAACTTCTGCCCCCCTTTTTTCCCCACTTCAATACTCTAAACGCAGTGGAGATCGAAGTTTATGCAAAGGCACTCATTCTAAATACAAATACGTTCGGAGCAAGAACTTTGGCCTTCAAGAACAACTGTCTGTCCTCTTTTTTTTTGTTATAATTTTCCACTTGTTTTCTTTTGTAGGTCCTCTTATTTTCCACCACTTTCTCTTCTTGATATATACATACATACATACATACATATATATATATATATATATATATATATATATATATATATATATATATATATATATGCGTATGTGTGTGGTAGAACTGGAGAATCCCAGGAAAGGGAAAAGTGTCAGTACAGGAAGGTAGAACCTCAGCGGTGTTAGAAGCGTATTTTTATGGCTGTTACTGACAGCGGTCAGGGTGCTGTTCTGGCATTTTCCTTTTCTTGCCATTCAGACCGTGTCTTTTGACCACGACCCAACAAAAACGTTCTATTGCTTCCCCTCGCTTCTGACGACAGGACGAACACGCTGCCAAATATTGAAAGCCTCCGCTCTCCGTCGCTTCAATTTTCGACTCTTTTTTGTCCCCCACCCAAGAAAAAAAATTAGATGGCACCAGCTTGAAGGTCAATTCTCAATGATGCAAAAGGGTAAAGACTGCGACTTTATCGCATTGTCTCCCGCAAAACAATACAAAGCATTCTCCTCTCTGTTTGCGTAGAATTGAGCAACATTTACAAGAAATTCGAAGGAAACAAAAATAAAACGAATACATGTTTAACTCAACATCAAATACTTTGTCATGTTTAGTAAACGAAAACAGATAATAATATGTAATTGTTTTCTTAATATCACACCAAATAGAAGATCAGAGAGTCACTCAAGGTAGAGCATAAATGTGTAGAGTTCTATTAGCGTAATAAAGTGAAGTTGTTGGGGCTATAGAATAACAGCGAATTCTAGACTTGAAAATTTTAAGATTTAATTAATGAATAAAATTTCAGACGGAGACATTGGAAGTATATCTCGAGTTGAAGTAGACTTTAGAAGGAACCGGGCATCAAATCCTAAACAAAAAACAATGGATAAACCACTAGTCCTGCCAAACGAGCAGGGAAGGAATATGAACCGGGCGATAGGCGAACCTATCTACACCTATTGCTAAGTTATGCAATAAAAAAAGGACAAGAGGATAAAAAGAACTATGCTTGTTGGTAATAAGAAAAGAAAAAAACGAACAAAGAAAAAAAATATAGAATGAGCTTAACCAGATATCGTCCGTCATTCGTCAGAACTCAAAGAAATTAAAATACTGTACACATTAACTCAAAATGTGAAGTATAAGCAAAAGAATACATTTTTTAAGCGTTTCACACCAAGCATTACACTTGAATAGTTGGAGATTAGATATCAGGGAAAACAGGAAAAGGGGAGAGAGAGTTCCACAGACGAGAGGTGCGAGACATGAAGCTATTGGAGTAGAAGAGACGGCTACATTTAACAGTTTCGACAGTGAAAGGGTAAGAGCGAGATGTCAGCCTATTTGAACGCTTAAATTCACGAAATCTAGGTCATCGGCGCAGTTAACGTGAAAGTATTTGTAAAAAAAGACAGAGGGAGGCGACGGCGCGTCTGTGAGAGAGCGACTGCAGACGAGATGCCAGATCAGGGCCAATTACATTGCATATCCGTCATTGGATTTTATCAAGGACCTTGAGACAATTAGAAGGGATTCCAGACCATATATGGCAGCAATACTTCATGCAAGGGCGAATGATTGATTTGTCAATTTGAAGGATCGACTCCGGCGAGAAAAATTTCTTGGTGCGGCACAGGGAGCCAACTTTCATATGTACCAATAATATACTGACACGGGTATATCTATCTCTATCTATCTATCTATATATATATATATATATATATATATATATATAGATCACTAAGTTCTCCTTTTGTTTGCATAATGATGGTTGTAGTAATTTAATATAAACCATCTATATCTCTGAGATGATGTATTATGATTACTTGTATTATTTACATTATTCGGACAGTTATCCTCATTTACATTGTCATATTCACAATGTTTCGGTCGTTGTACACTTCGGCTTTCGTCAGGTGATAGGAATTTTGAACCGAAACATTTATTTCGTCCACCGGGGTAGATTATTCTAGTTCCAAGTGTCATGCCTCTTCGGGATGTCTCAGTTATTTCCTTTTAACTAAACTCTTCATGTTTGGTTCACCACTGCTGTAGCCTGGTATTGAACTCACAACTCATTGGGTTTAGTCACTGGATCTAACCAACGTCTTTATCCACTGGGCCATTTCGAGGAATTTTAAGTGATCAATGGAATGTAATCAGCGCAAAACTGAGGACTTATCCTCACAGAAGGCTGTTGTAACCCCCACATATTGAAGACTTAGAAAAAAAAAAATTAGGAGTGTGCATCATTAATCTTTTATTTTTATTTTTTTTCATTTTAATATAGAATTTTGTCTGATTATGTACGATTTCTTATCAATGACTTGAACTCTACGGCTTATCAAGTCATTTTATATTTTAAACCAGAAAGCATTTTTAGATTGGTAGAGTTTTTCTTTTTTTGATAATGGTTTAGTGATACAAGTCTTAATAATTAACCCATAGCTAGTGGAGAAGAGATGGATTCATGCCTTTCCCAAAGATATTTGCACGTAAATAAATATAACGAGCCCAGGTGGAATTCAATCTCGGTTCTTTGATTAACAATTCCGACCCATTATTCATTACACCACCCGCGCATCCAAGCTTACAGCCCCTGCTTTTTCCAAGCGGACACGCATCTAGTTACTGACCATTTTCAAAGTTGCTTAACTTCGGTGATCATACGGGAGCCGATGTTTCAGCGTAATATGGCCGTAA